AGCGCGAAAGGAAGCAGCAGGGGTGACAAACCATCGCTCGGTACGACGTCTAGCAGCGCGGCCACCGGTGCTCATGGGGGAGGGGGCGGCGGAGGCGGGGAGGGAAGCGGCGGGCCCTTCAGGTTCTTTCAGTCTACTGACGGGCAGAAGGCGTTCTTGCACCCCTTGGATATGCGACAGCTGCTGGATGACGCGGAGAGGGGACTGCCGCTCCCCCCAAGGATTGACGCAAAGGTGGATATGATGCACAGCGTGCACAAGATTGACAAAACGTCTGCAGCCCTATGGTTTGGTTTACTACAACGGACGCTCCTCTCGGTGTTCAGAGACTCTCTTGGGGAATGATCGTGAGCCTTAGCCCTCGCGTGCATGTCAGGGGCACGAGCAGTCTGTTGGGTGCACTTATTGGTTCGGTTGAATGGCAGATGCGTACTATTCTAGGTAAAGACTTCGTTCACCTTTCGTCGCCGTGTGCATTGAAGCTGTTGATGGCTTGGTGTTCCTCGATCATCATCCCTAACCCCGTAGCTTGCTTTCACAGCGGACGCCCCATCCGATTTTGTCTCCCTCGGGGAATGCTTTCGGGACACTCGTTGCCGCTCTGTACAACGTTTACTTCAGTTGTCATGACGCGGGTTCGGAAGTGTGTAAAAGGTTTTCTGGTTGTGAAGGCGTAAAGAAAATCTCTGCTCTGGGATGGCGACCGGACAACACCTGAAACCGTCTTTTCGTGCTGTTTTTTGGCGGCTCAAAGAGGCCTGAAGCCTTACTGCTGACAATGTTCGGCTGGCCTTTCCATGCGGACGAGCTGCTGTCAAACCAGTAGCACAGTTCGTTTTCCCACGAAAATCGATACTGTGTGACACTGATTGCAGGACGAACACCTCTTTGCACGCCCGGTAATCGTGCGCCGTCTGAAGCCGTCTGAATGAACCTCCCTTGTGTTGTTTCGAAGGTGCTGGAGGTGGAGACGGTTAAGCTTACGCCGGATCTGAGAAAGCGGCTGCCGTTTCTGGGCCATCTCCCCATCCACTGCGACATCAGCTTTCTGGAGGTGGACATGTCGGACTTCGTGTCTGACGAGACGAGCCGCAAGTTCCGCGAAGGTGATCGTCCTCTCCCTGTCACAGCTGTTGTTGTTGTTGTTCTTGTTGTTGTTGATGTTTGCTGTTGTTGTTGCCGGTGCTCGTGTTTTGTTTACTTGTGTTGTTTCTGCCGCTGTTGCTCTCTCTTGCTGCTGCTGTTTCTGCTGTTAATGCTGCTGGTGTTGCGGCTACTGTAGTCGTTGTTGCTTTTGTAGCTACTGTTGGTGTTGGTGTACTTGTGCTGCTCTTGTTGTATCCTGCTGCTGCTGCTGCTGCTGCTGCTGCTGCTGCTGCTGCTGCTGCTGCTGCTGTTGCTGTTGCTGATGTTGTTGGTGTTTGCTTCTTTCGGTTCTGCTGCTGTTCTTGTCTGCGTCGGCTGCTGTTGCATCTACTGCTGTTGGTGTTTGATTGTTTGCGTCTTCTAGTTGCTTCTGCTTTCACTTTTTCGAGTGTATAATGTCGTTGCTCACGTTTTTGTTCTGTTGATGCTCTGTTCTTGTGCTGTTTTTGTTCTCCGCTTCCCGCCCCCAATGGCAGAGACTCAAAAGCGAGAGCGAAAGCGTCGATCCAGGGCGGCGCAGGAGGCGAGGTTAAAGAAGGAGGAAGCCCGGCTGGAGCAAGACCGCGCGGACCGAATAGCGGCCATGCGAGCCTTCACGGTAGACCTGCAGGTGAGCCAGACTCACAGAGGACGGACGCATTGCGCTTTTGGTTTTGTCGGCAAGCTATGTACTGCAGCGTAGTTTGCGTGGTGAGGTTTCGTGGTGTAGCCTGTCTTGCCAAGGATTCGGACTGGGCGACAGCAGCCATGTGAGCCTCCACCATAGACCCGCAATGCAGCAACGCACGCAGTGCTTCTGCTGCTGCTGCTGCGCGTGATGTTCTGGGCGAGGTTTCGATAGTAGTGTTGCCTGGCGGACGAAGGATTTGCACCAGTCAACCATTTGGCGGCTGTGAGAGTGTTCGCCGTTGACGTATAGCTACGATGGAAGGCTTGATACGCGAGAACTGGCGATTTTACGGCTGGCGCAATGTGTAGAGCGGGGCCATACGTACGTACAGAACAATGGCAGTCAAGGAGTTAGTTCACCATCGGCGTATTCGCGAGAGGAGTAGAAGCAGCGTCCAGCGATTGCTGCCGTCCGACTAAATAGGCTGTGGGTCAGTATTACAACACAGCTGTTTTTGTTTGTTTGCGCCTATGTAGAACGGTCGAATCGCACATCCGACTGGCCCGTCCTCGTGCCCCTTTCACACCACGTATGTCGGCATTGACCCTTGCCCGCCTTGAAGGCGTTGATTGACCCTTGCCCCTACACTCCGCCGTGCATGCTGCCCTTGTTTTTACCACACGCCATTGTTTCTCGGGACATGTTTACCTTCACCTTCCCTGCAGGGGCCCACCCCAGGCGGAGCGGAGCAACCGCCGCAACAATCAACACCGCCGCCGTCGACCCAAAACGCCTCTTCCTCCGAAGATAGCGGTGACGGAGCGGCAGACGGCGGCCATCATTCCGCCACGACGATTGTGGGAAGAGACGACGCGAGCAGCGCGCCATCGAGCGGCGCCGGCTCGGGGGGGGTTGCCACCGACGAAACCGCCGTCGCCGCTAGCGCGTCTTCCGCGGGGGCGGGGGGCTGGTCCTTCGCCAGGGTAACTGCCATGAACGGCCATTTCCCGACCCTCAAACCAGACACTGGTTCTAGCGGTAGCGGCTCCGTCGGCAATAACGCCGCGGCGAGGGCTTGGGGCGGTGCCGTCTCTGCTGCAAGCACCGGTAGTGTCCCCGTGGGCGGAAGTAGCGCGGGGGGGGTGTGGGGCGGAAGGGGGAACGGGCTGCTCTCCAGCGGGGCAGCGGCATTGCCGACTACTGCTGTGAGAGAGAACAAGGTGTTGGTGGGGAAGGGGGAAGGGGAAGGGGCGGCCGGTCCCAGCGGTGGGGGAAAGAAGAAAGGGCGTAAGGGGAAAGCGGTGTCCTTGTTCTCTAACGCCGGCGTTAGGGGCGGGTCGCGGTAGCGGGCGGGGCGTCGCACAATCGCTCGAGGGCGGCCGGGGGGTGGGGTAGCTCCACTGACGACATGCGGGGTTTGTGACGCTTCTCCTTGGTTGGGGGGAACAGCGATTTCGTGTCCAGCGACACACCCCCCTCTCTTTGTCCACAAGCTGGCCTCGGTGGTCCTGACTCTAGCAAAGAATACCTTTGTGAGGCGGCTGTAGACATGGCGAACGATATGATGTCGCTCGCGATGGGTAGCAGTAGTATTCACCGGTTGCCTTCGTATTCGAGCGCTGCTGCAGCAGGAGCCTCACATGAGGTGACATGGCCGACGAGTGCATTGTCACCTACAATACAAAGGCGTTGACCCCCTCCCCCCCCCCCCCCCCCCCCCCCCCCCCCCCCCCCCCCCCCCCCCCCCCC